GTCAAAAATGGTGAAAACCGCTTGGAGGAATTTCTCGGCCAAAACTCATACCGGCTGGACAGAAACCTCGGTCAAAAAGCTTACCGAACGCTCATTATCGGCCAAAACCCTTACCGATCGTCCAAAATCGGCCAAGGTCGAGTATCGGGTGCAAATTACCTCGGGTTAATTTTTTGGCCGAGGCGAGAGGAATTTTACGGTTAAAAAGCTTACCGCGGTACATATCCCTCGGTCATTTTCCTTACCGCGGGAAGCTTTTCTCGGCTAATACCTGTCCTTGGCCGCGCGTTTCGAAGATCAGCAATCCGGGGAACCTTCCGGTCCGAATCAGTTGGCGGGGTCTTCATCAAAGTTGGAGATAATCAAGCAACTATCCCGGAACAGTTGGAATCATCCAATTCGGACCAGTGAGGAGAACGATACGGCTTCCGGAAGATGCACCAGTACTGCGCGTACTCGAGAACCGAACAGCGGACTTCAAAGATCACGAAGGACGGAGCCTTTCCGGTCCGAACTAACCTGCCCGGTCTTCATAAAAGTTTGAGATCTCTGAAAGACCTTCTCAGAACAGTTGGAATCGTTCTATTCGGAACAGTGGTGTGAAAGATAAAGTCTCCGGAGTTCACATCGGTCCAAAAGCTTTATTTTTGGTGATTTCAATGCGGTGCAAAGATGTGAAATCCAGGAAGCCTTCCACTTCCCAAGCTCCGACGGTTTCTTCATCCAAGTTCGAGCTTATCGAGTCATCTCGACTATGGAACTGGTCTCGAAGCAATTGGAGTCGTGTGCTGAAAGTTACTGCTTCCGGAAGGCGAGATGGTCGACACGAGCCTAAATGAGTCGCGGTACGCGCTAAGTATTTTCTCAGGCCTCGGCATCATCACCTCGACATTGCTCAAGTCAAGGCTCATATATTGGGAGTATTTTGGACTAGACCTCGTGCTGACGCCTCGGCACGTTGGGATCAAGGCATGCACACGTAAGAATTGAAGCTAGAAATGACTAAGTGTTGAACGTGCACCTCGGTGTAATGGCCTCGGCGTGCATGCCGGACTCTGTTCTCCCGAACCCCTCGACTACCAAGCCCCGCGACATTCTATGGCGAGGTCCCTTGTCACAACCCCAGAATCAAGAACAAGACGGCTCAAGAACACACACGTGAAGATGGATCAAAGACTAGGGTTCATGCATGTTCTTGACGTGTTCTTCACGAGACCTCCATTTGGATCTTGGCTCACGTGCACTCCTCGACATCAAGGCCTCGGCTTCACTCTCCGACACACCGTTGCACTCACCCATCAACCCAAGAAGGCGGATCAGTACCCGGTTTGTTCCGGGCTGACCCGCGACACTTTCCCTTTACTATAAATACATTTTAGGACCAAAAACCTAATCATCTTATCTCTTATCATCTTTTAGCTTTAAGAACTTGCCTCTTTTGTGAAACTTGATTAATCTAATCCGATATCTCGTTTTTGCATCAGAATCTTGTTCTTTCTTTATTTCTTTTATCATCCAGCATCAAATCCTTATCATGACTAGCTACACGTCTTGCAAAGGACTGAGTGAGCTCGTTATGATCAGTGAGTAGTCGTTTAAGCGGCTTTAGCTAGGTAGATTAGGGTGCTTTCAAGATAGATTAATAGGTTTAGGTGTCTAGTCTTGCATGTTTCATTCTTTAACCAACGAGATCTCTAAGCTGGATCCAAGCACATCACTTGAGATTCAGATCTGAGACATATCTCGCATCAAAAGTGTTTGTAGAAATGTCTGAACCACTCGGTTAAGGGTTTAAGAGTCTTTCATCGCGAGAGTGATAGTTTGTTCTCTTAAATGACATATTGAACTGAATCTTATTGCTGACTGATTCATGCCTCTCAAAAGGGATTTTGGTATGAAAGAGGATCAGTTTAGATGTTTAATACTTTCATGAGAAGATTAACATGCCTTGAGTTCAAAGTTAAATGAAACCGCTTGATAAAATGATTCATTAACCCATTAGTTTAGCTTGGAAGCACCCGAGTCAAGTATCCTGTCTAAAGCTTCTGCCTTTATCATATATTATCATCATCCGAACCATTTGCTTGTCATTTGCATCTTTACTTAGTTCAAATCTCATCTCTTGCTTCATTTACATGCTTATTTACCCGTTCAATAGTTTAGTTAAAACCCTTATCATTTCATCTTGACTTAAGATCACAAGTAACATAGATTAGTGTCTCCACTACAAGTTTGGTTTGATAACCCCTTGTACTACAAGGACAGGGGTATTGATAACCTCTTTAAAGAGTGAAAACTTTTAGTTATCACATACAACGCCGTACCATTTCACTCTCAGTGTTCTTTCTTCTATTTGAATCTTAGGGATGCCCGACGACTGTGGCTGCTTGATTAGCAGACCAAACAGATGAACTCTCTTCTCTTCGATTTTCTGGCTGGTTTCTGCAGTTTCATTTTTCCTTTTCTGCGGATATATATGAGCTTCATATGACAGTTGTATTATATCGTCTCAGTAGGGTATTGAAGTATAATTTTTTATGAAACAGGTTTGACTCTTGAACTCTCTATTTACAGCGAAAAATTCTCTTCTCTGCTACTCCATGCTTTCAATCACTCTACTACAATCTACAGCAAAAACTTATAATAGATGAAAATCAAAGCGACCATATCAAGCAAGTTCTAGTTAATAATCTAAAAAGATCATTAGTTGAGATCCATCCCATAACTGACCCCAATACACACTACCAAAGCGACCTCCACAAGTTTTTTTTTAATCGTAATTAAAACTGTTTATGGCTGCATGGAGTTCCTTCAGAGAAAAAAACATCTGTAATGGGTTTACTCTTCACCTTCTTTTTCCTGTGTAAGTTTGTATCATCAAACAAATAAACATTAGTTTATCCTTAGTTACAAAACCTGAAAAATAAAGCTATATTAAAAATTTTGTTCGAATTTCAAACAACAGAACAAAATTTTTGTATGTGCCTAAACAAAACCCTTTAATCGATATTAGAAAGAATCAAATCCAATAATCACAAAATATGAAAAGGCCCAATCTTATATATAAAACTTGGCCAACTCTCTCCAGTTGAGTGACACATCAGCGCGCTGGAGAGAACGCCACCTGTCATCTTCAAATTTAATAAAATAATTAATTAATTAAATTTAAAGTAAACACAATAAAACATATTAAAACATATTAAAACACATTAAAACACATTAAAAACATAAATAAATATTGATATATATTTATATTAGAATAAAATTCAAATTTAATTTAACTATATACAAACTTATAAATATTATATAATACAAGATTTTTTAAATGCACAATTCGATTTTTTTAAAATGTTTTAAACTTCATTTATAAACTAAAAATATAATTACATTTTAATGCAAGTGAAAAAAAATTATGAGACTAAATAAATTAAATTTTTTTAAATAATCTTATATAAAAATTCAACTAATAAAATTATAAAACACAAATCATATTTAATAAACTATTCAAAAGATAAAAGTTATTAAAAATAATAGTAAAAAGAAAGATATCCACATAAAAATGTCATCTATGGTTTTTTTTAAGTAATAAAAAAAGATGAAATCAATAAAATATATATAACTAAATAAAAATTAAATATTAAATTAAAAAAAATGAACAAATATTATATTAGTACGATTTACAAGAATAAAAAGAATATAAAGATCGAAGAAAAAATAAAACTATTTAATACAACTGGTGTAAAGGAGATTACATATAATATATCACCAAGAAGAAAAAAATATATAACTATTTTAGACAAAAAATACATTAATAATAAACTTAAAGTTCAATACAAATTATTTAAAATATAAATTCAAACAAGATCCGCGCATACGCACAGGTTCTCTCCAAGTAATAAACAAAATTCGGTACAATTATTTTATTATTTTGGAAAAACTTAATTTGAACCGAAATAAAAGTATTAACCGATTTTTAATGAGGATTAAAGAGTAATTAGCCACTCTAAAATTGAATAAGAGAGTTTAGAAGTAAAATTTTACTTTGCTTATACTATATATGATGATTTAATAAGAGTTAAAGAGTAATTGTTGGGGTCGGTTTTCATCCCACGCAGATAAAACCATCTCAAAATGACTAAGTATGGAAGAAAGACAAGTGGGAGAGCCGTTCTCACTAAGACAAGTGGGAGAGCCGTTCTCACCAAGACAAGTGGGAGAGCCGTTCTCACCTAGTGGGAGAGCTGTGAAGATAGACCAGTAGGGCGAGCCATGAGGAAAGAGAGATGGGCCGAGCCGTATTGCAAGAAATGGGCCGAGCCCCTCTCCAACACGCCTGGGCCGAGCCGCGCCTCGGTGAAGTGGACCAGATCACGTCTCGACTCAAATGGCAAGTGTGCCGAGCCGTGGAGAAGTTTAGATGGGCCGAGCCGTGGAGAAGTTTAGATGGGCCGAGCCGTGGAGAAGTTCAAATGGGCCGAACCAAGGCCTTGAGAGACAAAGCCCATAAAAACCCTAGGCGAAATACAAAGGCGGTGAGCCGCACGAGGCGATAAGGAAATATTCCAAAAATCTCTCCGAGATTCTCGGCTAGGCGGTTCAGAGAATTAGTATAAATAGATGATGTATACAATTCATTCTGTAACCTTTTCCAACCCTAAGCAATAAGAGCTAAACACTTTTACAGCAAGAAAAACTTTTTTTCGATCTTTCTGTTCTTGACGATAAACCCTAGAAGTTTCTGATCCCTTAGTTTTCTTTAAACAAATTTCTGGTTGTGCGAGTTTTGGCTCACACAATTTGGCGCCGTCTGTGGGGAATCGAAACTTTCTTACTCTAAATCGACAAGACTTTAAGATCCGAAGAACATGGCGAGCAACACCCCCGACGACAACAACAACAACAACACCGGTAACGGCGCGGAGAAGGACGCTCCGGCATCGGGCACAACGACGGCAACGATCGAAACCCAAGAGGAGATGTGAAACATGATGGCTGCGTTGATGAAGAAAATCGACGAACAGGATAAAAGAAACGAGGCGATTACGGAGAGGCTCGACGCGATGGCGGCCGAGCGACTGCACCCAACTTGGAGAGCCGGAATTCCCGACCCGATGGATGGAATCCAGAGACGCTTCGATTTCTCGACACCTGCAGAAGCCTCAGGGAGCGGCGCAAGAAACCCCTCGGCTCCTCCAATGTCTCGTCTCCTCGACGAACAGACCCCCGCGGCGACCCGAGTCAACATGACCGAGCCGCCCCCTCTCTGCCGAAACTCGAGGCGACGAGCCGGCGAAGAAGAAAACAATGCGATCGACGTAGACGCCCAGCAGAACAACGGAACCACGAATCTGCAACAAACCGGCTCGGCTCGCCGAATAAGTCAAGAAGAGCTCGCCTCGGCACTAAACGGCATCCGAACTGACGAAGTCTCCAATCCGACCCGCGGCGACAATCCAAACGAGGAGGAAAAAAACCTCCAATGGATCGAGCAGGTAGAGCCAGGGAAGGTGAGAATCCCGTTCTACGAAGGAACAACCGACCTGAAAGCACCCATCACAGCGTTTCGGATAGCAATGGGACGAGCCTTCACAAAGAACGCCGCTAAACTCACCAAGCGCGAAGTAGACGCCGGATACTGCCTGCTTTTCGTGGAGCATCTCAAGGGAGCTGCACTCGAGTGGTTTTCAAGGCAGGAACGAAATTCAATAGGCTATTTTCAACAGCTCTCCGCCTTGTTCCTTAAGCAATACTCGATGTTTATGGACAGAGGAACATCCGATGCCGATCTCTGGACACTATCCCAAGGACCGAACGAACCGCTTCGGGATTACATGGCAAGATTCAAGGCAGTCATATCCAAAATAGAGGGGATAAGCGACAGGGCTGCGCTCGAGGCTCTAAAACGATCTTTGTGGTACAAATCCGAGTTCCGACGGGAGATGGCTCTCAACACGCCGCAAACAATTCAAGACGCTTTGCACCGATCATCAGACTTCGTCGTTAACGAGGAGGAAATGAAAAACTTGGACGAGCAGTACGAAGCAACAAAAGCAGCAATCCGAAGCTCAATTTTGTCGCGCCCCGCGAAGAAGGGCAACCCATCGAGCAACGCGTCAACGCAGAGCTCGGATGAACCTAGAAGCGGAGGCGCCCATAACTACCGGACGCGGAAGAGGAGAGCCGCACAACAACACTTGGGTGAGAAAGTCCGTCAACTACGACAAGAAGGCTTTCTGTGAGTATCACCAGACCTACGGGCATTCAACAGCTCAATGCCGAACTTTAGAAGCAAAGCTCGCAGCAAAAATGGCAGCAGGAGAGCTCCAAAACGCGGTCAGCCTCAAAGACCTTGTTCCTAACGAACAACAAGAGAGAGCCGAGCCGAGCGGCGCGGCGGAACCCGCGAATCTTCCCCGACGAGGCGATAACCCCAAACGTGACAGGAGAGGCGAACCTGAAGAGCAACCCGAGCCGAGGCAAAGGATCAATATGATCATGGGTGGATCCCAATACTACCAAGATACCGTGTCCTCCATCAAAGCCTATCAGCGCCGAGCCGAAGCGAAGGAGAATTGGACAGAACCAACCAACATCCCAAACACAACGATCTCCTTCGCCGAGGAGGAAACGGTAGGAATCGATCGACCTCATAACGATCCGTTGGTGATTGAGTTAACGATCAGGGATCACGACGTAGCGAGGGTGCTCATCGATACTGGAAGCTCAGTGAACATCATCTCTAGGGAAACACTCAGAAGAATGGGAATCGACCTCTCCGAGGTGGAAGCAATCCCCAAACCTCTAACCGGATTTTCGGGAGAAACGACGATGACTATGGGAACGATCAGGCTTCCTGTGGTAGCTGGCGGAGTCACTAAGATCATCGGATTCTGCGTCACCGATCACCCAACAATATACAATGTGATCATGGGAACTCCGTGGATCAACGGGATGAGGGCGGTACCCTCTACCTATCATCTCTGCCTCAAATTCCCAACCCCAGCAGGTATTAAAACGATCTGGGGGAATCAGAAGGAGTCATGAACGTGCTGCCTAGCTGAGCACAAGCTAAGGAACCCCGTCACCGACGCACGAGCAGACATCGACCGCAAAAAGATGAAGACAGACCGAGAGCCCGCGAACGAGCTCTCAAAACTTTTATAGTAATTACAGATCGCGGAGAGCCGCGAAACACGTGCCGAGCCAGTATGCGACGCAATGGACTCGGTGTGTATAGATGAGGTGCGCCCGGAGCGATGCGTCGAAATAGGAACAAAACTGGAAGAGCCTCTGAGAAGCGAACTCCTTTCCCTCCTCAAGGAAAACAATAACACTTTCGCCTAGACAGCAGAAGACATGCCAGGCATAAGCATCGACGTGACCTGTCACGAGCTGAATGTGGATCCGACCTTTAAACCAGTAAGCAGAAAAGAAGGAAGCTCGGCCCCGAACGAGCTAAAGCAGTTAACGACGAAGTCGAAAGGTTACTCAAAGTAGGATCAATCGCCGAGGCCAAATATCCGGACTGGCTCGCAAATCCGGTGGTCGTGAAGAAGAAGAACGGCAAGTGGCGAGTATGTGTGGATTTCACCGACCTCAACAAGGCGTGCCCAAAAGACAGCTTTCCCTTGCCACACATCGACCGGCTCGTCGAAGCCACTGCAGGGAATAGACTGTTAACATTTATGGACGGTTCTCTGGCTACAATCAGATCCTAATGCATCCGGAAGATCGAGAAAAAACGGCATTCATAACTGATCGCGGGATATACTGCTACAAAGTCATGCCGTTCGGGCTCAAGAACGCAGGAGCAACGTATCAACGGCTCGTCAATAAAATGTTCGCGGCTCAGCTCGGAAAAACCATGGAAGTATACATTGACGACATGTTAGTCAAATCACTCAAGGAGGAAGACCACGTCACGCATCTACGGGAATGCTTCGAACAATTGAACAAGCACAACATGAAACTAAACCCGGCGAAGTGCAGGTTCGCGGTCACCTCGGGAGAATTCCTTGGCTATCTGGTAACTCACCGAGGCATAGAAGCAAACCAAAAGCAGATCAAGGCTTTAATCGAGATGCCCTCTCCAAGGACGAAGCACGAAGTGCAGAGGCTCACAGGAAGAGTCGCCGCGCTAAACAGGTTTATTTCCCGTTCCACAGACAAATGCCTGCGCTTCTACGACACCCTCCGAGGAAACAAGAAATTTGAGTGGGACAAACTATGTGAGACGGTTTTCCAGGAATTGTAGAATTATCTGGCGAGCCCACCAATCTTAGCAAAACCAGTCGAAGGAGAGCCGCTCTTCCTCTACATCGCAGTGTCTGCCACAGCGGTAAGCGGAGTGCTTATTAGAGAAGAACGATCCGAGCAAAAACCCATTTTCTACATCAGCCAGACATTGACCAACGCCGAGACTCGCTACCCCCAGATCGAGAAGGTCGCCCTAGCCGTCGTAGTCTCGGCTCGGAAACTGCGCCCGTACATTCAATCACATTCGATTGTTGTGCTCGCTATGCTTCCGCTGCGCTCGATCCTACACAGCCCTAGCCAATCCGGTCGGCTCGCCAAGTGGGCCATAGAGCTAAGCGAATACGACATCGAGTATCGGAACAGGTCGTCTGCAAAGTCACAGGTGCTCGCAGATTTCCTCATTGAACTTCCCGCCGAAGCAACAAACGAGCCGACTCTAGACAAAGTGTGGACGCTGCACGTCGACGGCTCGTTGACTAAACACGGTTCGGGAATAGGAATCCGCCTCACCTCTCCCACCGGAGAAATATTGGAGCAGTCTTTTCGCCTGAACTTCCACGCCTCGAACAACGAAGCGGAATACGAAGCACTGATCGCCGACATACGACTAGCGCAGGGAATCGGAGTTTGAAAGATAAGAACCTTTTGCGATTCACAGCTCGTAGCATGTCAGTTCAACGGAGAATACGAGGAAAAGGATGGACGAATGGGAGCTTACCTCAAAGTGGTCCGAGAGTTGGTGCCAAAATTCGATGAGTTCGAACTCACTCGCATTCCCCGAGGAGAAAACACCTCGGCCGACGCCTTGGCAGCACTCGCTTCGACCTCGGACCCAGACCTCCGACGAACGATCCCAGTCGATTTCATCGAACGTCCTAGCATCGAAGAGGTGGAAGGAGTTTGGCTGATAAATCCTCCTGAACAAGAACCAGAGGACGACGAAGCCATTCCTATGGATGAAGACGCCTCACCAGCCGAGCCGGAGTACGGCTGCGACAAAGAATGGCTCGAGGACTGCGAGAAATTTACAGCGAAGTGCGAGAAGTGTCAGCGGCACGCTCCAACAATTCATCAACCCACCGAGTTGCTCTCGTCAATTTCATCACCTTATCCGTTCATGAGATGGTCGATGGACATCGTCAGACCTCTACATCGCTCGAAGCAGAAGCGTTTCCTGCTTGTCCTCACGGATTACTTTTCCAAGTGGGTCGAAGCCGATTCCTACGCAAGCATAAAGGATGTTCAAGTCGAACATTTCGTCTGGAAAAATATCATCTGCCGACACGGGGTCCCCTACGAGATAGTCACCGACAACGGATCCCAGTTCATCTCAACACGCTTCGAAGCCTTCTGCGAGAAGTGGAAAATCCGCCTCAGCAAATCTACGCCAAGATACCCTCAAGGGAACGGACAAGCCGAAGCAGCCAACAAGACGATCCTCGACGGTCTGAAAAAGAGGCTCGACGCCAAGAAGGGACGGTGGGCAGACGAACTCGAAGGAGTCCTTTGGTCTCATCGGACAACTCCGCACCGAGCCACCGGGGAAACTCCATTCGCTTTGGTCTATGGATCAGAGTGTGTAATTCCCAGGTATTCGACGAGGACTTCTACCAGGACAGGAGAGCTTGAACCACTTAATGATGCTAGATGAGCTCGACCTAATCAACGAAAAGCGCGACCAAGCCTTAATTCGAATCCAGAACTATCAACAAGCAACGGCGCGATACTACAACAAAAACGTTCGTAGCCGAAGATTCAAAGCAGGGGAGCTCGTCCTCCGAAAGGTCTTCCAAAACACTGCCGAGAAAAACGCAGGAAAGCTCGGAGCAAATTGGAAAGGTCCTTACAAGGTCACAAAAGTGGTTCATCCAGGAGTCTACGAACTCGCGACACTAGCCGACGAGGCGATTCCAAGATCATGGAACGCAATGCATCTGAAGAAATACTATCACTAAGGATACAGCACGACCAACATGAACTACGGCACGGCTTGATCCCTGCGAAGGGTACGTAGGCAGCCCGTCCTCGGACGGGTTCAGCTGTCCCCCTCCTAAAAAGGGGGGGGGGAGTGGGTACGTATACATACCTCCTTTAACTCTACAGAAAACGCTTTTTTAGCTCGCTCACTTAGGAACATCGCCACTTCGGCACATTCTCAGCTCGTTTTGAATCATCTACTTATTTCACGTTTACCTTGGATTTCCAGTTTGTTCATTATCACTTCGGCTAGTTTCTCATTCTTTCTAAATCAGCAACTTATTTTAACAAGCTCTGATTTTTAAATTCTTTCACTCATCACTTCGGCGAGTAATCATGACTTGGTTACCTCGGACCTTAATTGCTCCGCATTTTCAGTTCGGCAAACTAAGCCACTGAATGCCTCGTCTCGTTGCTGGCCACAATGGGGCAACAACTACAAAGTTCTCTAAACGGACTTTTACCACCTTTCCTAGGACGAGGGTGCAAGTTACATCCTCTACGGATAAAAATTAAGCGCGCTATACAAATATCAGACCAAAAATGTATCAGGTCGCCACGGTTTACTATCGCACACGAGAATATAAGCCGAGACTACATCGCTTTCTCTAAAACCGAAGTAAACTCCTAAACCCGACAAGCATAGTCATCCTCTCGGAAACGCCGGTCCATAGTCAGATTCAACGAGACTACCAAATCATCCTTGGCTAACAAAAGCTAAAACGCCTCGTCGTCCTTACGGCTCGACACCATGCAAAGCCAAAAGGCCTCGTCGTTAACGAAACGACACGGCATTAACTCTTTCTCTCAAAAGGCCTCGTCGTTAACGAAACGGCACGGCATTAACTCTTTCTCTCAAAAGGCCTCGTCGTTAACAAAAATGGCTTGGCACAAACTTTCTCTCAAAACGCCTCGTCGTTAACAAAAACGGCTCGGCATGAACTTTCTCTCGAAACGCCTCGCCATTTATTTGGCTCGGCATAACCTTCTCAAATCGCCTCCGTTCATCATTACCAAACAAAATCGCCTCGTCCTTAAACTTGCCTCGGCATCTTTGGTACCCTTTCGAAACACCTCGGCACCCTCGGCACTCCTTGGAAACGCCTCGGCATCTTCATTCCCAAAATACCTTATCTGGCCTTACGTCATAACAGCTTGACTCGATGGTTTATCCTACGGTCAGGAGTAATGGACCTCGTCACTCTCGCCTCCAAAACTGACGAGCTAACTGTTGGGGTCGGTTTTCACCCCACGCAGATAAAACCATCTCAAAATGACTTAGTATGGAAGAAAGACAAGTGGGAGAGCCGTTCTCACTAAGACAAGTGGGAGAGCCGTTCTCACCAAGACAAGTGGGAGAGCCGTTCTCACCTAGTGGGAGAGCCGTGAAGATAGACCAGTAGGGAGCACCGTGAGGAAAGAGAGATGGGCCGAGCCGTATCGCAAGAAATGGGCCGAGCCCCTCTCTAACATGCCTGGGCCGAGCCGCGCCTCGGTGAGGTGGACCAGATCACGTCTCGACTCAAATGGCAAGTGTGCCGAGCCATGGAGAAGTTTAGATGGGCCGAGCCGTGGAGAAGTTTAGATGGGCCGAGCCGTGGAGAAGTTCAAATGGGCCGAACCAAGGCCTTGAGAGACGAAGCCCATAAAACCCTAGGCAAAATACAAAGGCGGTGAGCCGCACGAGGCGATAAGGAAATATTCCGAAAATCTCTCCCGAGATTCTCGGCTAGGCGGTTCAGAGAATTAGTATAAATAGATGATGTATACAATTCATTCTGTAACCTTTTGCAACCCTAAGCAATAAGAGCTAAACACTTTTACAGCAAGAAAAACTTTCTTTCGATCTTTCTGTTCTTGACGATAAACCCTAGAAGTTTTCGATCCCTTAGTTTTCTTAAAACAAATTTCTGGTTGTGCGAGTTTTGGCTCACACAGTAATTAGTTATCCTAAAATTGAATGAGAGAGCTTAGAAGTAAAATTTTACTTCGTTTATACTATATATATATATATATATGACTAATTAAATTTTCTTTTGTCAATGTAATTAGAATATTTTAGATAGTTTTTTTTTGTTTTAATATAAAAAATAGTTAGAAATGAAACATTCACAGATGATCAAAAACAAAAACTTTCACCGGTCAAGTATCCATTTTCTCACAATTTTATCCTCCCCACCTAAACTATTAACGAAAATGCCATTATACATCTATTATTTCAATTTTTCTTTAATTTGGGTAAAGTCTCATTGGTCCTCTTAAAGACCATTTATTTACAAAAATGCCATCTTCTTCAATTCCTTCAACCACCATGAACAACCACGAAATGGGAATAAATGCTTCTCAACCAATTTTAAAGCTGTAATAAGTAAATATCCGAGCTCATTCATTCATAACCTTGCTCATTCTTTCATAATTTCTTCTCCAAAACATCTGGGCTATGCATTTTCAGTGATTTCTGGTTACTCGACACCTGGGTTGTTTATTTTCGGTGAAATCCTGAGTTCTGGGTGCTTAAGAAAAACTTAGGCGAGCTCAATTTTGTTAAAGGTAATCCTCGCACTTCAATTTCTCCACATTTCAGTTTTTATATCGCGAAAGTATACTTCTCGTGAAGTATACTGAAGTCTACTAGTCAACATAAGGTTATTTTTGCAATTGACTTCTTAAAAGTAGACTTCGTTAAACTTCACGAGAAGTCTACTCGACATCCTTTGAAAACAAAAAAAAAGCTTAGCATACTTCGTTTGAAGGCTCAAGAAGTCGACTAAAGAAAAGAGGTTATTTTTATAGTTGACCGTATTTTGACATTTGAATTTAGACTTCCGTATGAAGTCTACTGTTTACGTCTGCATCAGAAGTCTACCTTAAAGTTAGTTTTGTAGTTTGACCAAAAACGTATAGGTCATTTTAGTGTTTGACTACTGTTTTTTAAAAATTAAAAAATTAAAAAAATTCCGAAAAACTTCAGTAGACTTCCCAAAGAAGTCTACAGTTTGTAGACTTCTTTGTGAAGTCTACTTATATTTTTCGGTCAAACTTAGAAGGAATCATTTTTTGAGTAGACTTCACAATGAAGTCTACTAAAAAAATTCAATTGCAAAAATAACCTATTTTTTTCCGTAGACTTCAAAAGTAGATTGTTAGATTAGTCTACTCTTACATGAAGTCTACAATAGAAGTCTACTTTGTTAGTCAATGCATCAGTCAAATGCTAAAGTAACATTTTTGGACGGAAGTCTACTTTTGAAGTCTACTGAAAGAAAGTCAACAGATTGGTCAATTGCAAAAATGACCTGTTTTTTTAGTAGACTTCATTAGTAGACTTCTCTATGAAAAAGTAGACTTCTCCTCCAGTCTACATTTGAAGTCTGCTGTAGAAGTCTACTTTTGGCGTTTTTTTTAAAACGCGTTTTAGGCAAATTTATAAAGTATTTTTCAAAATTTTTGGATTAGAATTGCTTCTTCGTAACTGATTGAACTACCCAGTGAATTTCATTTCATTTCATTCGATATTTATTGTTGAATCAGAAGTTTCGATTTTTAAGCTACTTAGCTTATCAAAGTAGACTTCGTCGTGTAGTCTACTAATGTTCTTTTCGGGAGAAGTCTACTCTTGATACAAAAAGTCTGTATGCAGTGTTTGCTAATATAGTTTATATGGTTATTTTTTCAGAGAATGGCTCAAATTCCAGCTGTGTATGGGGAGTGGAAGATTGAGGAGAATTCATGCCATTTTGTTGTTGACATGGGCAAAGGTGGAAGAATGTGGTTTTTGAACGATGGTTGCACCTTGGGGTAGCTTACTGAGATGGCGCGAGATGATTATAACTTGGGCAAGAAGACTGAGCTCATCAAGTTAACCTACTCACTACCAGTCTCAATGTTGCAAACTATGGCTCCAGATACACCTCCAATGCATGTCACCAATGATAGACAAGTTTCAAGCTTGATTGCGTTAAGCAGAGTGCATATGGTACGTCTTTGTGTGTCCAGTCGAGTGGAGATGGATACTGAGGAGAACCAGGAAGGATCAGATGAAAATTTAGGTGAGGAGTCTGAGGAAAATTCAGAACATTCTACCGATGATGAGGCAGACAGTTCTGATGTAAACGAGGATGAAGAAGATGTCGACGATGCAGCTTACTCTGACGGAGAAGATTACAGTGTCTACGGTAAAGTGAAAGATGAAGATGATGATGAAGATGAAGTCTGTATTGAAAATGTCAGAAACAGATATGGTGAAACAGGAAGCACGCCCATGTCATGGTCTGATAATATATATCTTAGGGCAAGTTTCCCTACAAAGGAGAAGCTGTTATAAGAGGTTAGATTGACTGCGATAATGTTAAAATTTGCTTTTAAAACAGAGAAGTCTACCAAGACCCAGTTTGTGGCTAAATGTCGAGTGGAAGGATGTGCTTGGATGGTTAGAGCAAGCGTGAAGAATGATGCATCCACTTTTTGGGTGACAAAATATGTGAAAGACCACACATGTTCAATAACCCATCGAATGGCTCAGCATGGGAAGTCTACTCCTAAGTATATTGGCAAGCTGTTTATAAGCCATTTGGGCATCATTGATGGACTTATACCAGAACATGTCAGGGTTTCAATGAAACATATGTTTGGCATCAAGATGGATTACACTACTTCATACAGATCTTTGATATATGCCCAACAATTGGTCAGGGGAACAACTGAAGATGGATATGCGAGTCTCCCAGCTTACCTACATTCAGTGAACAAAGCCAATCCGGGAACTGTATCAGCTCTTCATGTAGATTCGAATAACAAATTCAACTATCTATTTCTCGCATTTGGAGCATCGATTGGCGGTTTTCAGTACATGAGAAGAGTTATTGTGGTTGATGGATGTCATCTAACAGGGAATTACGAAGGTACTTTGTTGGTTGCCACCGCACAAGATGAAAACTTTCAGATTTTTCCTTTGGCCTTTGGAATTGGTGATGGTGAAGATGATGCTTCATGGGAATGGTTTTTTTCTAAACTGCGTGAATGTGTCTCAGATGGTTATCCTTTTGGTGATAGTTTCTGACAGACATCTTTCTATTAAGAAAGCTTGCCAAACTGTTTTCCCATGGGCAAAACGAGGGATACACTTCTACCATCTACAACATAACATAGTAACAAAGTTTAGGGGGAAGCAGTTGTTGTACTTGGTAAAACGTGTGGCTTATGCTTACAACCTCTATGACTACAACCGGTACATGGCGGAGCTGAGACAGATCAAGCCTGACCTTGCTGACTATTTGGAAGAAGCCGATGTTTCCCTTTGGTCCCGAGTTCATTTTGTTGGAGACAGATACAATATTAAAACTAGCAATGTCGCAGAGTCTATAAATGCTGCACTTAAGAAGGCCCGTGTTTATCCCATTTCATTCCTCTTGGATTTCATACGAGAGAAGCTCGGTCGGTGGTTTTTAAAACGCAGAGAAGATGCTTTGAGTCTCACAACACATAATACTCGGGGAGTGGAGTATTTGCTGGCGATTCGTGAACATTATGCAGATGCAATGGAGGTGGACCGAATTGACACTTGGAGATACTATGTGAAAGGAGGAACCAGAAATTGTATTGTTGATTTGGAACATGGAATGTGTGAATGTGGTGTGTTTTATATCGAGAAGATCCCATGCTCACATGCTATTGCAGCTGCATTTGCCGGTGGTATAGCTGTGGATTCCCTTGTATGTCCGACTTACTCAAACAACTACTTGTTTGCTGCATACTCTGCCAACATATATCCCCAAATTTCAGAGGTCCAAGGAGTCCAACTACCAATATGTCTGCCACCAGACATTCGCCGCAAATCAGGCAGACGGAAGAAGTCTCGGTGGCAATCATGGCTAGAAATTGCTAGGAGGAAAAGCAAGAAGCCAAGGAAGCTGCACAAACTATACAGCTGCTCACAATGCAAGCAACCTGGTCATACCCTACCGAATTGTGTAAGTTGAGCTAAACTAATCTAATAATGTCCTATACAATATTAACAGTTTTATTTACTAAACTTTATGTCTCTCACTTAGACGTCGAAGATTCACCAGGACAATATCAAGAAGGCTCCGGAATAGGAGGACACAGCTGCTATTGTTGTCTAGAAGTCTACTATGGAAGTCTACTGTCAAAGTCTACCATATATGTGATATTTTGTTTACTGTTAGGGTTTGAAACAACTTCATTTAAGTAAATGCTTTAACGACTTTAACGGTGCGTATAACCGTTGTTCCTGTTTGTCTACGGTATTCCTGCTTATAAATTCTCGGGTTTAGACGAATTATAGTTTCATCCCAGATCCTTAGAAGATGTCGAACCTGATAAACTTCAACTCTCTCCCTCCCTCCCTGCGCTCTGTAAAGCAAGGGTTTTCTCCAAACATCTAAATGAGATTTCTACTGAAGAGGGTTTTTTAAGATCCGTTGATCTAATAAATTTGACCATTCCATGGGTCTGGGATCAACATGGGAGGGTTGACGCATTCTTTCGGTGCTGTTTGGAGTGTAGAAATCATACAGCGCAATACCTACGAGGCGTTTCTCTAATCTTCTATGAAGACAACATCCAAGCAGGGTTTGATTTAATAAAGGTGTCATCAAATGGAGGATGCCTCATGGCTACTTACTCTATGGTTATGTTCTCTTTAACCATGGATGGCAGCCATGATGTATTTAACCACATTCATGGTCTACTTTCGGCAGAGGCAACGAAGATGAGGAAGACTAAGCAGCACATCAATAAGTGTCCGACCATTTATAAGAAGCCTGCGAGTTTCACGAACCGGTCTTCCATGTTTTTGCTAAGGCACAATCAAGGAGTTGTGCTTGTATGAATCTGCCAAACCAGCACTGGATGGATGATGAAAGCGTTGTCGACTCATATGGTGACAAACTCTGCAGTTCTTGCTTCTGGAAGTTGGAATGTGCCATATTCTGGAAAACAATTCCTGGATTTGCAAATGAATGGCCGCGTTGAAATTTGTTGACGCAATGTTTTATGTTTTTGTGTTTACTTATATGTTTAACTGATATTAGTAGACTTCTGTAGTAGACTTCGTTTGTAGACTTATATTTATTGTAAGCAACATATTTATGAGTTCTACTAAACTTTTTCCGTAGACATTATCAGGAGTGCATTTTCAATAATATTTCACACGATTCAGTGTTTAGGGTGAAAATCGAAACTTATAAATACAAACATGTTAATTGCTTAGTAGACTTCAGTACAAATACAATTACAACTTAGTAGACTTCAGTCGTAGACTTCAGTTTAATTACAATATCCTAAACGAAAATACAGCATAGTTGGCATTTTAATTATACGATTGGGGGCCAAACAACTTCCACACCTATCATCTACCAATTGCTAAAATGACCTGCAATCACATTGAATGTCATTTATGCAAGTAGCCAAAAAGTTGCCATAAAAATCAAAGTTAGTTTTAAATATGGATACCCTAAGCTTTCCTATCATAGAAATTCAGCCTGGTTGCATCTAGCTTGTCATGGCCCCTAGCACCTATTTCGTCAAAGATCTCTGCAGCCATTTTCTCTCTGATTTGTCGAATGTTTTTATCACAAAGTTGCGGAGGAAATGACAAATCCAAAGCATGACACTCGATGTACTTCAGGCAGTAGACTCCGCAATCACCACTCTGAATGTTTTGAGGTATCTCCATACCTGGTACTCGCGAATGTGTGAACGACGTGTAGGGGAATCTCCACTTGTCTTCATCAGGTGCACAGGTCTGAAGAAGGTATGTGATATGTTCATAATTTGCATCATGTAGGTTGCATAATTCATTCCAAATCATATTTTATTCCATGCATTTTAGGTCCTTAGGGTTTGTTTTAGAACTTAGGAGATGCATTAGGTCCCAATGAGTCTTTGCATGTTTTGAGTGTTTATCAGGTGCATTTGGAACTATTTGGAGCTGGAAAGATGAATCCAGGAAGTGGAATGGTGATCAAGGCTTGAAAAATGGTGAAATGGGGTTTTTGGAGGTTATCGGCCATTCTCGCGCACCAGGAAGGTTTTTATCGGCCAAAACACATACCGGCTAATGGATTTCTCGGCCAAAATCTCCGGGTGCAGAAACGTTTTCGAAATCGCCTGTCCGGGGAACCTTCCGGTCCGTTCAGCTGTCGGGTGCTTCATCAAAGTTGGAGAGGATTGGATCACGGTTCCAGAGCAAGTGGAATCATTCAATTCGGACGCGTGAGCAGAAAGTTAAGCTCGTCGGAAGAAACTCCTGTCTCGCTGCCGTTTTGGATCAAGCCGATGAGCTCCGAAGAACGCGAAGGACGGTGCACTTCCAGGCCGATTCAGTTTTCGGGGCCTTCATGGGAATCAGAGACATTTGAGTCCTATTTCCAGAACGTCCAAGATCATTCAATTCGGAGCTATGAGCAGGAAGATACGGTCTCCGGAATGGACACATGTCTAGACGCCCTTCTCTGATCGTGTAAATGCATTGCGAAGATGAGCCCTCCAGGAGGCCTTCCACTTCCCAAGCACCGAAGCTTTCTTCACTAAAGTTGGAGATATATGAGTCCTATGGCCTTTGAAACCAGAAGCACACAATTCGGACAAGTATCTCAGAAGTTACACTCTCCGGAATGCGAAGTGGTCCAAACAGCCCTGAATGATGCGAGCTAAGTGAAACATGCCGCGATGGAATGCCACGGTGCACACTTGGCCGTGGCACCTATTTGCAATCCTTCGGCGATTGACACGATCTTCATGCCAGGGTCTACACTTGACCGTGGCAAAGAAACATTTGGCTGGGGAGGACTTTACAAGCATTCGGCACTTGACACGGTTTGAATGCCACGGTCTAGGACTTGACCGTGGGAAAGAAACATTTGGCTTGGGAGGACTTTACAAGCATTCGGCACTTGACACGGTTTGAATGCCATGGTCTAGGACTTGACCGTGGCAACTTTTCACAAACTTTTGGCACTTGACACGGTTTGAATGCCACGGTCTAGGACTTGACCGTGGCAACTTTTACACACCTTCGGCGATTGACACGGTCTGAGTGCCACAGTCTAGGAATTGACCGTGGCAACCTTTTACATACATTCGGCGTTTGACACGACCACTTGCCATGGGTATAGATTCAGACTTGCTAGACCGTGACACCAAGATTCATCCAAGAACACGAAGATACAAGACTTTGCCACGGCCACTTGCCACAGGCTGACCAGAACTTGCTAGACCGTGGCAAACCCCTTCTTTACCCACCAAGGCCGGGTCAGTACCCGGTTCGTTCCTGGTTGACCCGGTTCGTCCAAGGCATCTATAAATACATTTTAGACCTAATTTGGAGAGGACCTTTTTATCCATTTCTAGTCTCTTTTCCCTTTTTGTGAAAGACCACTTATTACACTTTGCTTTTGAGCTTAATATCGATTTGAAGACTCTTTTTATCTTGTTCTATCATTTCTTATCATCAAATCACACTTCTAATCATGATTAACAACACATCTTGCAAAGGATCTAGTGTGTTGATCATGATTAGTGAGTAATCTCATATTAAGGTTTTAGATATGTAGATTAGGATGCTTAAGTGGTAGATTAGTGAGCTTAGGGGTTAGATCATGCATATTCCATTTTCTACAAGCTGTTCTCTATGCTAGATCCATAAAAATCATATGTGGTCTAGATTCTGGGCATTTCATGCACCAAAAGTGTTTGATGAAATGCCTGAACCAAGGTTGTTAGAGGTTTAAGTGTTATTCATCATGGGAATGATTGTCTATATGCGTTAATGACAGATTAAACTGATTCTTAATGCTTGTTAACTCATGTTTCACTGATGATGATTGGGTTAGAAACTGTTTTAGCATAGGAGTTAATACCTTCATGAGAGGATTAACTTAATTAAAGATGTTTATGTTGAATGGTTTGCTTGATCATGTGATTCATTAGCTCATTAGTTTATCACTGAAGCCACCCTAATCCTCTATCATGTCTAAGACCTTTCTCATCATCATACATACATTCTCATCACTTGTCATTTTTTTAGTTCTTTGTTTA